AACTGGACCCGCTTGGGCGTCCCTTGTGGCCGTCCGGGGGGATTCTTGGGCCGTCTTGGGGGCCCCAGGAGCTCGATCGGGGGCCTCTGGGGCCGTCTTGGGAACTCTCGTGGAGGCCCCCCGGGCAGCATGGAAACGTCAAAAACCCTCGAGAATATCGATAGTTTTGCAGCCTCGGGGCCCTCGTGGGGGTCCCCTGGGAGCTCCGTGGAAGTTCGAGGGGGCCCTCCGAGCCCGTCCTGGGGCCCTCTCGGGCTCGCTGGGGAGCTTCCGGGAGACTCTCGAGGCCTCCGCGTCGGGGCCCTCATGGGCCGTCCCAAGGCTGTCCTGGGCCGGGACGGCGTCACCCCACGGGCGGGGCCCCCGAAGCGCCGCCGCGGGTGACCATCGCTCGCCCTTCTCGCACTCGCAATGCCCAGTATTGCAGTATAGACTGGGGCGAACCCGTGGACTTCGCCCACGACCTTCAGGTCCCCCTGGTGCGCCTCCACGGCGCGGCTCCGTGCCACACGCGCATACCTTCGCGCACTCGCACCCGCACCCACGGAGAAGGGCAGCGCTCTGAGTGCTGCCAGGATCCGTGGGCGGGGTATGCCCGGAAAGCTGTAGCAAGTTCTTCCCAGTTGCCTGGGTGAAGCGTGACGGTGGACGCACGCTCGCAGGCCCGAGATGGCTCATGGCACCCTTCGCTTTTGACAGCCCCTGTGTGAAGGGCTGGTCACGCACCGCTCGCTCTTGGGAGCTGTGCCTGGGAGAGCTCTCTACGCTGCGGCTCGCTCTTGGGAGCCTTGGTGAGAAGAGCTTTGTACTTCACCGATCGCTCTTTTAATGGGCGTCTCTGGGCCTGCTTGGTGGTCCTTGTGGGGGACTTTTTCGGAGCATTCTGAAGCTTTTTGGGGCTGCTCTGGGAGCGTTTTGGGACGTCTTGGGGCCATTTCGGGCCGTCACGGGGCGTCCGGGAGGCCTTGGACCGTCTTGGAGCTCTCTTGAGGCTGCCCGAGGCCGGCTTGGGAGCCTCTTGGGGCCCCCTCGGAGCTTTCTTTGGGCCGTCTTGGGGTTCTGTGAAGCCGTTTCACGGCTCGCTGGCGTCGTCTTGGGGCTTTTGTAGGCCGTCTTGGAGCCCTCTTAGGGGCCGCTAGCGCCTTCTTGGGGCGATTTGGGAGGCCTCTTGGCATGTCCTGGGCGGCTGAGGAGCACACAAGGCGGGCATGCTGAAAATATACGTTTTCCCATTGGAATTGGACGATTTGTGCCTCTTTGGCGTGCGCTCGGGGCCCTCTTGGGGCGTCTTTGCGGCCTCTTGGATCGTCGTGGAGCCCCCCCCCGGAAGGCCTCGGGCCCTCGTGGGCCGTCTCGGGACCCACTGAGGCCGTCTTGGAGCGCTCTTGGACGGCCTAGGAACCCCTCTGGAGCGCCTCTGTTACCGGCCTGAGCGATTCGGCCCCGTGGTGGCGCCGTCAAGGGTCGATTTTGCGCACTTGAGGCCCTGGGCTTCTCGCACGCGGCCATGTAAGAGAGATTTCGCACGCGCTTCCACCAGCCATGTAGGAAAGACTAGGGCTGGCCAGTGGACCCTGTCCACGACATCTTTCAGGAATGGTTCTGAGAGGAGCGGCGGAGCTTATGCCGAAAAGCTATAAGCACGGCGGCGGCCGGGGCGGCGGCAGCGAGGCCGCGCCTTCGCGCCCGAGCTCTTACATCGCTCAAGCAGCTTGGCCCTGGCGCGCGGCTCGTTCGCCCCCCTCATATTGGGGGCAGCTTTGAACCCTCTCGGGGATGTGCGTCACAGTCGAGGCCCATCCGGCGCGTCTCAGTAGCGCCCAAGAAAGGGTTCGGGAGACCCTCGGGGAAAGCAACCGGGGGCGCCAGGGAGCCTCGCGAGGATCTCCAGGGAGGGCCCGAGAGAGCAAGAGGATGTGAAATTCGATAAGATCTCAATTGAAACCGTTTTTGGGTCGGACGTGTTCCGCTGCGTTGGGGAGGCCGTTTTGTCGGAGTTCTGTTGAAGGCGAAGCTGTCTCGGGCGTGTCAGGAGCGCCGGATTCCCGCCTGATACTTCCTCCATATTCAAGCCTTAGGAGCCCAAGAATGACGACAGTCACAGGTTTGACGGTGACCCGCTCGGTTTTCAAAACATTGCATGCTGACCCCATACGGAGGGGGCTCCCGCCTGAGAGTTTCCCGCAAAGCACTCGCAGGCGAGGTTCCCGCCGGATACTTCCCCCGTATCCAGGCATCGGGAGCCAAAAATTGACATTCACAAATTTGAAAATGACGCGCTGGGATTAAAAGCATGAAGTGCGGGCCCCATTGGGAAGGGTGCTCCCGCCTGAAACTTCCTAGAAATTCGCTCACAGACGAGGCTCCCGCCTGAAACTTCCTCCATATTTAAATATGATGAGCCCAAAAATGCCGATGAACCCAAAAATGCCGCGCGGGTCCCAGAGGGGGGGTCCCGCCTGAGGTTTCCTCGCAACCCACTCACACACGAAGCTCCTGTGTGAAAACATGGCGTGGTGATAGTTACGACGACCGGCGGCAATGATGTGATGATGGTAGTGATGACTGACGATGATGACGATGGTGATGGCGAGTGTGAAAACAGGCGAGTAACGATGATGGTGATGATGATATCGACGATGATAAAAGCAAGCGCGCGTGTGTAGATGCTAGTGATGGCAGTGTGCGATGGTGCGATGTTCATGGTGATGAGGAGCCTGATGGTGGTGAATATGATGTGACTGTGATGATGATGGTGATATCGTTGCGTTGCGCTGGTAATGCCGACGATGGTGATGGTGAGGAAGAAAGGGGAGGACGAGCACGAGGAGTAGGAAGAGGAGGAGAAGGAGGAGGGGAAGGAGATCCTGCGCGGGGTCGTGCAAACAAAACAAGAAACCCACTTTGGATGAAGGGAACAAAACGGTAACCGAACAGCAAGTCCAATGCGGAAGCGGTTTCGGCTAAACTTCCAAACCAACAAACAAACAAGCAAAAAACATGCGACGTAACCTAACCACCGGCACCAAGGGATGATGACAGTTGTGCCAACAATAGAGCGACAGCAACAGTGCAAGAGACTGTGCACGGCGGATATCTACACCGTGCGAAGTGTGCATGGACGATTCGCAGACCAGAGGTACAAAAAGCCAGGAGGCATTCTACCGGGAAGGAGAAGCAAAATGAGGACATCGGGGCGGAAACACAATCACATCGGCAGAAGCAGCGAGATGATGGAGCATGGGCAAAATAAGGCTACTTAAGCGGAGGCGCAACCAGACAATGAAGTGTCGCGTTGCTCCATGCCGACATGCTCAACACTTGCGCGACCAGCGCTCAGCGTTGCTGCAGCGCCTCAGAAAATTGAAACCTCCCGTTACCACAATAAGAAACGGCCTGGGCCTAGCTCGCCCGCCAGCCTCTCCACTTCCTCCCTGCACATCTTGGCGCGAGCACCAAAAGCGCGCAGGCGCGCCGCCAGCCCTCGAAAATGGCGACGGTTTCACACTTCGCAGCCCCCCCAGGGATGGCGAGATCTTTTTGCGACCTGGGTGGTACCCCACTGTGCTGACCCCCCCAGCAGCCCTCGAAAGTGGCGACAGTTCACACTTCGCGGCCCCCCCAGGGATAGCGAGGTTCCATTCAGGTCTGATTAGGACCCCACTGTGCTGACCCCCCCAGTAGCCCTCGAAAGTGGCGATAGTTTCACACTTCGCGGCCCCCCCAGGGATGGCGAGGTCCCGTTTGGGTATGCGTGGGACCCCACTGTGCTAGCCCGCCCACCCAGCAGCCCTCGAAAGTGGCGACAGTTTCACACTTCGCAGCTCCCCCAGGCATGGCGAGGTTCCGGTTGGGTCTGCGTGGGACCCCACTGAACTGGCCCCCCCAGCAGCCCTCGAAAGTGGCGACAGTTCACACTTCGCGGCCCCCCCAGGGATGGCGAGGACAAGTTTGGGTATGCGTGGGACCCCACTGTGCTGGCCCCCCCAGCAGCCTTCGAAAGTGGCGACGGTTTCACACTTCGCAGCCCCTCCAGGGATGGCGAGGTCCCGTTTGGGTCTGCGTGGGGCCCCACTGCGCGGTCTCTCCCAGCAGCTCTCGAAAGTGGCGACAATTTGACATTCCGAGGCCCCCAACAGGGATGTGAGAGGAGAGAGCCGAGAGGAAAGCAGGGGGAGGAGAAGAAGAATAAGGGAGTTGGCGACCCCACTGCTCTATCCAAAGCGAGAACCCAACCAAGGGAGGCCTGGGGGGGGAAAAGGAAAAAACTTTGTTTGTAAACAAAGAAAACTCTTGCAGTCCTCTTCGGGGGTTCCTGGAGGCTTCTCTGCGACATCTGGAGGCCCTCTTGGACAATTTGTAGCGTCTCTTGGGCCGTCTTGGGGGACTCTAGGGCCGCCTCAGGGGCCATGTTGGGGGTCTAGGGCAGTCTTTGAGCCCGCTTTGGATTCTCGTGGGCAGCTCTTGGGGCCCTGTTGGGGCCCTCTTGGGGCCCTCTTGGGCCCTCGGGGCTCCATTGGGCCGTCTTGAAACTCTCTTGGGCCGTCTTGGAGCGCTCTTGGGCCGTCCTGGGGCTCTCTGGATTCTTGGGCCGTGGGGCTGTTCTGGGCCCTATATGTGGCTGTTCTGGACCCGATATGGGGAGAACCTGACAATCACTCAAAAACCTAAGACAATATAATTAAGATGCTGAACTCGTCGGACCGTCATCGGGGTCCTCTTGGGCTGTCTTGGGAATCTCCTGGCTCATTTGGGGGCCGTCTTGGGCTGTTTTGGGGGCTCCCTCGGGGTCCTCTTGGCCATCCGGGCGCGCTCTCGAGCGGCTCTTAGCAGTCATGGACCGTCTTGGAGCCTGCTGGGGGGCCGTCCCGGGCCCTCCAGGGCTGCCCCGCGAGCCCCGACGACCGTCTGGGGCCGCCTTGGGAGCGCCAGGGGCCGCCCAGGGCCGAGTGTCCCCGGTGCCACTTCGCACGCGCTGATCCCGGTATTCTAAGACAGACGACGCTGGGCTCCAGCTTCGCCTGACACATCTCGCCCAGCAGCGCCAAAGCCCGCTGCCACTGCTCGCCCTTCCCGCACGCGCTGATCGCAGCGTTGCAGCTGACTAGTGTGGACCTGTGGACGAAAAAATCCACACGGGCTGGCAGCCGAGAATGTTTACATAGCATATGTCGTGACAGCAGGTGGTCTCACAGACTTGGCAACAGCACAGCTCGGGATCCTGGAGCGCTCTCGGGACCAGCTTGGGGCCCTGCTCGGGGCATCCGTCGGGCCCTCCTGGTCGTTCTCAGGACCCTCGTGGGCCCTCCTCGCGCGACCTTGGCGTCAATTTGACCCTCTGGGTGGCAACTTGGCCGTAGGGACAATACTCGGCGAACAAACAATGACATAAAGATAAAAATTCGGAGGTCCGCGCGGATTCCTCGGATCGGCGCTGGGGCCCCCCTTGGCGCGCTCCGCGCGCCATGGAGGAGTGTCCGGCGCCGATCCGAGAAATCCGCGCGGACCTCTGAGTTTTTGATGTTTACGCCATCGATTGTCCCCCTGGCTACGGGGAGCGCTCGGGGCCAAGTCGAGGCGGCCCTGGGCTGTCATGGAGCCACCTCGGGGCGGCTTGAAGGCCAGGCGGGGCTATCCAGGGCCAGCCTGGGAGCGTCGGGCGCCCTCTTCGCCCGTCTCCGAGGCGTCCTCGGCGCTGCCCGGAGCCTGTGGAGACCATCCGGAGACGCTCTTTGTGAGGCAGGACGGACAATCAGGAGGAGGAGGAGGAGGAGGAGGAGGAGGAGGAGGAGGAGGAGGAGGAGGGGGAGGAGGAGGAGGAGGAGGGGGAGGAGGAGGAGGAGGAGGAGGAGGAGGAGGAGGAGGAGGAGGAGGAGGAGGAGGAGGAGGAGGTTGCGAGCTTCGCGGAGCGCCTCCGCGGCTCCTCGTGGAGCCTCGTGGAGCTCCCTGGAGGCCATCCATATATGGGCCCCTCGGACGTCGGGCCGTCGTCCTGGAAGCCTGCCGGAAGCCTTCTCGGAGCCCCTGCGCCGAGCACCTGGATCCTATGAGGGCACCGCCACGCGTCGTCTCTCCGAGGTCTCTTCGGGGCCCACGAGACCTTCCCAGCGCACGATGTTCGTTTTGCCTTTGTTTCCCAGGGCAAAATGACACCACAGATGGGGAAAAAAACGCGTCTCCAATGCAACCTCTTTGTTGCACCATACCAAGCACTCCATGCCCCTGGACCCCTTTCAAAGCAGGGAGCAACAGAACGGGGCCCACGAGACCTTCAGGACCGTCTGCGGGCCATTCGGGCCGATCTGCCCAGTCGGGGCCAGAGGCACTGCTCGCGGAGCTCGCAGATGACGTTGGGCTTCAGCCTCGCCTCGCACATCTCGCCCAGCAGCGCCAGAGCCCACTGCCACTGCTGGCCCTTCTCGCACGCGCTGATCCCAGCGCTGTAGCTGACTAGGGCTGACCCGTGGACTTCGTCCACGTCATCTTGGGCCAGTCTTGGCCCGAAAAGGCCGTCTTGGGCCTGTCTTCGCTCGACATGGCGAGAAGGTGAAAATCTTTCAGAAACCATAGAAGAATCCATGATTTCGTTTGCCGCGGCTCGTCTGGAGCGTCTTCGAGCGGTCTTGGGCCGTCTCGGAGGCCCTCTTGGACCGCTTCCTTCTCTTCGTCCGCCTTCCGCTCTATCCCTGCCTAGACAGCCTTCGGAGCGTCACAGACGGCTATGGTGGGTCTGCGGTGTACGTCTCGCCGCTTGTCAATTTTGAAAGCACCTGGGGCCTTGAAAAAAATCGCCTGGAGGGCTCTGGTGATTTTTTTCCGGCTGCCTATTCGAAGCCTGATGGCGGGCGCTGCCGTCTCCTTGGGAACGGTTAGTGGGCCTCTCGGGGTTTCTTTTCGAGCTCCTGGGGGCCTGTTGGGGCCTCGTTGGCTGTCTTGCGGCCTTCTAGGGGCCACTTGGGACCCTCTTGGGCCGTCTTGCGGCCCCCCAGGGGCCTTTTCTCTTGAAGCTTTTTGGGCGCCTCTGGGGCCGTTCCCGGGCTGTCCCCCCGAGCCTCTTCCGGGGGACAGCCCAGGAAATCTATTGTGCTTGCGTGCTATGCGTGCGTGCTCCTGTGTGAGAGGTCGGAAGGGTGTCCCGACGTCACCGCTCGCTCTTGGGAGCTGTGCCTGGGAGAGCTCTCTACGCTGAGTCTCGCTCTTGGGAGCCTTGGTGAGAAGAGCTTTGTACTTCACCGATCGCTCTTTTGGTGGGCGTCTCTGGGCCTGCTTGGTGGTCCTTGTGGGGGTCTTTTTCGGGCCATTCTGATGCTTTTTGGGGCTGCTCTAGGAGCGTTTTGGAACGTTTTGGAACCTTTGGGGGCCGTCACGGGGCTTCCGGTAGGCCTTGGACCGTCTTGGATCTCTCTTGAGGCTGCCTGAGGCCGTCTAGGGAGCCTCTTGGGGCCACCTCGGAGCTCTCTTGGGACCGTTTTGGGGTTCTGTGAGGCCGTTTCACGGCTCGCTGGCGTCGTCTTGGGGCTCTTGTGGGCCGTCTTGGAGCCCCCTTAGGGGCCGCTGGCGTCTTCTTGGGGCGACTTGGGAGGCCTCTTGGCGTGTCCTGGGCCGCTGAGGAGCACACAAGGCGGGCATGCTGAAAATATACGTTTTCCCATAGGAATTTGACGATTTCTGCCTCTTTGGCGTGCGCTCGGGGCCATCCTGGGGCGTCGTTGCGGCCTCTTGAATCGTCGTGGAGCCCACCCCCGGAAGGCTTCGGGCCCTCGTGGGCCGTCTCGGGACCCACCGAGGCCGTCTTGGAGCGCTCTTGGACGGTCTGGGACCCCTCTGGAGCGCCTCTGGGACAGGCCTGAGCGAGTCGGCCCCGTGGTGGCGCCGAGGGGCGATTTTGTGCACACGAGGCCCTGTGAACCATTCTCGCACGCAGATCCGCTGGCCAGGTAGGAGAGACTGGCGTGCACCCGTGGAAAATCCACGCTAGCAGGCCGAGGTGTCGGTCCCGGACGCGCACCACGTGTCGCCGACGCCTGCGGGTTTGCTCGGGGGGTCGCTGCAGGCTCGGGGCTCCGGGGCCGGTGGCTGTCTTCGAGGGTCTCGTGAGGTCCTTGGCTACCTCGGAGTGGTCCTTGGAGGGTTCTGGTGGCAACGAAGTCTTCCCGCAGTCCAGCCCCGCTGCAGCCTCTTGCAGGAGGAGGCAGAGGAGGAGGAGGATCAGGAGGAGGAGGAGGAGGAGGAGGGGGAGGAGGAGGAGGAGGAGGAGGAGGAGGAGGAGGAGGAGGAGGAGGAGGAGAGGGAGGAGGAGGAGGAGGGGGAGGAGGAGGAGGAGGAGGAGGAGGAGGAGGAGGAGGAGGAGGAGGAGGAGGGCGGTACTAGAGATGGGGGGAGTGCAGACTCTCGGAGGAGGAAGCCGAGGCAGAGAAGACAGGCGAAGGTCCCCCTTGTCACCCCTAGTCGGAAGTGGGGGGGGAGGAGGAAGAGAGCAGTCCAGAGAGAGGGCGGTGCAGTCTCGCAGGCGAAAGGTGCTGGGGTGTGCGGGGGGGCAGAAGAGGAGGGAATGAGGCGCATGAGAGCGAGCAGGAGGCCGAGGAGGCAAAGAGTAGCTCTGGAGCGAGGGCGAGCCAAGGGTGCGGGTGCTGCTGCAGGGGCTCCGAGGTGTATACATTTCCCCTTTGCCACCCCCAAATCGGCTGTGTGGAGACCCCAGAGTGGCTGGAGCTTGGAGGAAGGGGATCCAAGGAGAAGGATCAGGATGAGGAGGAGGAAGGAGAATGAGTGAGAGAACAGAGCTGAGCGGGGAGAGGAGGCTCGTTGGCCATTGCTATGGGTAAGAGGCGTTGTTGAAGGCTGCCCGGGAAGCACAAGGCCAGGAGGCTCTCTTGGGAGCTCCGTCGAAATTATCGGAGTATTTTGGGAGGGTCTGCGGCGCCTCGGAGTGGTCCGGGGCGTTGTTCGGGGTCCGCGGCTTTCTTTGGGGCTTCTGGTCAGAGACGGCGAAGGGGTGCTGTAGCTGATGGCGCTCTGCTTAAATCTCCTTGGCAAGTGTCGGAGTCTCTTGGGATACTCTGGGGCATCGGAGTGGTCCTGGGAAGGAGTGATCCAGGGAAGGTACTTGGCCCATTGGGAGCTGCGGGAGGCTCGTCGTCTGGACTATCTTCGGACCCACTTGGAGGCCTCTTCGGGGTCTTCCTGGAGCCTCCTGGGCGTTTCTGGGGACATTTGGGAGCGCTCGTGGGCCGTCGTGGGCCCTTGTAGTGACGTCCTGGGACAATCTGGGGGGCTGTTGATGTTGGGAGTCTTGGGACGTCTGGGGGCTATGTTGGATGGATCGGACCGTTTGGGAATCCGCTTTGAGCCCTCTTCGGCAGCTCTTCGGGCCTTCTTGGGCCACTGAGGGGATCTCCTGAGCCGTCTCGGGGGTCTCTCCGGCTGATCTGGGGCGATGTTGGCGGTCTCGGGCCGTCTTGGAGCCCGTTTGGGGACCTGTTTGGCAGCTCCTGGGGCCCTCTTGGGGCTGTCTTGGGGGGCACCTGGGGCTCTATGAGGCTGTCTTGGGCTTCTCTTGGGCTGTCTTCGGGCCCTCTGGGCCCGTCTTGAGGCACTTGGCGGGGCCTCCTGGACCGTCTTGGGGCGATCTGGGATGGCCCTGGAGCCGTCTGGGGCCGTGCTTGGGCCGATACGGCGAAAGCATGGGAAACCCTCAAGATCAAAGGAAGATCGATGAATCTGTCCTCGGAGGACCGTCATCGGGATCCGGTTCGGCCGTTTTGGAAGGCACCTGGCCCGTCGTGGGGCCGTCTTGGGCTGTCATGGGGCTCCGTTCGGGTTCTCTTGGGTCAACCTCGCGCGCTCCAGCGTCTCAAAGCTGTCTCGGGGATGTCAGAGGCCATCTTGTGGCCACCTTGGGGCCCTCTGGAGCCGTCGGAGAGCGCCTGGACGCCTTCGGGCGCCCGGGGTCAGGTCGCAAGCTTTTCGCCCATCACGCACGCGCAACGACCAGAATTGTAGTACAGATGACGCTGGGCTCCAGCTTCACCTCCCACATCTCGCTCAGCAGCGCCAGCGCCCGCTGCCACTGCTCGCCCTTCTCGCACGCGCTGATCCCAGCGCTGTAGTTGACTAGAGCTGACCCGTGGAATACCGCCCACGAGTGCCAGCGATGAGAGCGCGGTTGCTGCTGTTCAATGCTCCAGGGTGCGAGGTTTGCTTGATGATCTTGACGGCGTCGAGGTCAGCGCTAGCAGTATCAGCGGCAGCAGAATTTGGGACATGAGCAGTAGCAACAGCAGCAGCTCAACCTCCTCCTCCTCCTCCTCCTCCTCCTCCTCCTCCTCCTCCTCCTCCTCCTCCTCCTCCTCCTCCTCCTCTTGCTCCTCCTCGTCTTCCTCGTCGTGCTGGCTTCAGCATCCTCCTCCTCCTCCCCCTGATCATCATCGTCATCATCAGCATCATCACCACCATCATCATCATCATGATTATCAGCAGCATCAGCATCATCATAATCTTCATCAGCATCACCATCATCATCCTCGTGCTTGCCTCATCCTCCTCATTATCCCCCTCCTCCTCCTCCTCCTCCTCCTCCTCCTCCTCCTCCTCCTCCTCCTCCTGCTCTTCCTCTTCCTCCTTGTGCTTGCCTCCTCCTCCTCCTCCTCCTTCTTCTCATTCTCCTCCTCATCCTGCCCCTCCTCCCTCCTCCTCCTCCCTCCTCCTCCTCCTCCTCCTCCTCCTCCTCCTCATCCTCCTCCTCCTCCTCCTCCTCCTCCTCCTCCTCCTCCTCCTCCTCCTCCTCCTCCTCCTCCTCCTCCTCCTCCTCCTCCTCCTCCTCCTCCTCCTCCTCCTCCTACTCATCCTCCTTCTCCTTGGACGGCAGTTTCAGAAAGGTCGCCAGATTGCACGGGCCCGTCCCCACGCTTTTCCAAACAGGCCTCGTGGGGCCGTCATCAGTGACCTCGTGGGCCCTCCTCCTCCTCCTCCTCCTCCTCCTCCTCCTCCTCCTCCTCCTCCTCCTCCTCCTCCGGGCCTCCTGGCAAGTCATCGGGCCCTCTTGGGCAGCCAGGGGACTCGCTGCATGGCCTCTTGGGGCCGTCCTGCCGCCCTCTCGAGAGCGTCAAGAGCTGTCCTGAGGCCGTCTGGGGCCAGCTTTGGGGCCATCGGGGGGACCTCGGTGCCGGCAAGGAGGAGGAGGAGGAGGAGGAAGAGGAGGAGGAGAAGGAGGAGGAGGAGGAGAAAGAGGATCAGGAGCAGAAGCAGGAGCAGGAGCAGGAGTAGTTGGACGGGGAGGAGGGGCAGGAGCAGGAGCAGGAGCAGGAGCATGAGCACACCCGGTGGAGGCGCGGGAGGATCTCGGGCTGGCATCGCCCAGAAAACTATAGCACCGATGGTGTTGGGCTCCAGGTTCACCTTCGAGATCTCGCTCAACAGCGCCAGCGCCCGCTGCCACTGCTCGCCCTTCGCGCACGCGCTGATCCCAGCGCTGTAGCAGAAACTGGGGCTGACCCGCGGCCGTCCGGCCGCGAAATCTGCACGAACTGGCAAAGATTATGGACATGCTGCCGAAAGGCTGAAATTTTCCTCCTCCTCCTCCTCCTCCTCCTCCTCCTCCTCCTCCTCCTCCTCCTCCTCCTCCTCCTCCTCACGCGGGAATCGACCCTCGCACCCGGCGCATGCTACTGCGTGCTGCTGCTTGCTGCCGATGTTGCCTGCTGTTGGTAATGCTTGTCGCTGCTGCGTGTCCTTGTTGCTCGTGGCTGCGGGGTGCTGCTGATAGCCACGTCGGCTTGGTGCAGGTGCTGTGCCTGCAGGGTTGCTGTGCTGCTGCAGGGTGCTGCTGACCGCTACCTGTTGCTGCTGGTGCTGCTGCCTGCTGTTGCTGTGTGCTGCCGCTGCCGCTTGCCTGCTTCGTGTTTCGTGCTGCTGCCGTTCGGGTAATGGGCGAGTTTAGGACCGCTCCAACATGATCTTGAGCCACTGTGATGCCGTATTAGGGCCAAGGCTGGAAATGAAGAAGCAACAGTGGGCCTTATGCTTCGACGATGTTCCATGGTGGCTGTCGCCGCTCGAAGAGGTCGGGGGATGTGCGCGGGCTGCGTGGGCTCGGGAGAAGACTGAAGGCACTGCGGAGCATGCCCCCAATGCCTGGCCTGTCTGGAGCACTCTCAGGGAGAATTCCCAGACGAGTCGCCCATTCGGACGGGAGCCTTGCAAAGAAGGGAAGAAACTCAAAGGCGCATGAGCGCCTTACTTTCCTGGGTGACCAGCGCGGTCCCAGATCTCTCTCAGGGAGGGACCTTCCATCGGAAGACTTTTGGAGACGGTTTGGGGAGTGTCTTGGGGCCTCTCGAGGGTCTCTTGGGACCTGATTTGGGCCTCTTGGGACGCCTTCTGGGGCGTCCGGGGGGCCTCTTGGGGGCAAGCTGGCGGTTTCTGGGATCATCCTGGAGCGGAGGGCGCGAAAGGTCAGTTCGAGTTCCCCCTCGTGGGGCCCTATTGGGGCGTCTTGGGGGCCTCTTAGGCGGTCTGGGAGCTCTCTTGGGCCTCTTGGGCCACCTTGGCGCGATCTTGGGAGCCCTGGGGCTGGCTTGGAGCGTCGAGACTCCGAAAAGGAGGGGAAAAATAAATAACACATGGGCATATTTGTTTCCAGGGTGGCCAGCGCGGTCCCAGGGCTCTCTGATAGAGCTTCCCTCGGAAGCTTCTTGCAGCGGTTTGGGGAGTGTCTTGCGGACTCTCGAGGGTCTCTTGGGGACCTGATTTGGGCCTCTTGGGACGCGCTCTCGGGCGTCTGGGGAAGCCTCTTGAGGGCCAGCTGGCGGTTTCTGGGATCATCCTGGAGCGGAGGGCGCGAAAGGTCAATTCGAGTTCCCCCTCGTGGGGCCCTTTTGAGGTCGTCTTGGGCTGTCTTGGGGGCCCCTTGGGCCGTCTTGGCGCCCCCTTGGGTTGTCTGGGAGCTCTCTTGGGGGCCTCTTGGCCGTCTCGGGGCCCTCTTGAGCTGCCTGGGAACTCTCGGGGGGGGCTCTTGGGAGCCCTGGGGCTGGCTTGGAGCGAGGAGACCACGAAAAGGCGAGAACGCTGAAACCCTTCAAAAACCATTGGGAAATCAATGCCTTTGGCTTCTCGGGGCCCGTCCTGAGGGCCTCTCTTGGGGCCCTCTTGGGGTCGTCTTCCGGCACCGTGGCGCCTTCTGGGCCACTTTGGGAGTCAGTGGCCTCTCTCGGGCCTTTCTGGGAGGGGCTCGTGGCGTCTTGACGCCTTTGGGCGCCCAGGACGGCGCCGTCCTCTTGAGCAGAGCCGCCGAGGCAGCGCGGCCCAGGGCCGGGGCCGAGGGAGACACTCTGCCCTTCTCGCACGCGGACTGCTGGGCATTGTACTACGGATGGTGCTGGACTCCACCTTCGCCTCACACATCTCGCCGAGCAGCGCCAGAGCCCGCTGCCACTGCACGCCCCTCCCGCACGCGCTGATCCCAGAGGTGTAGCTGACTAGGGGTGGCCTGTGGACGTACGTCCACGACGGCTTGGATGGATATGGTCAAGGGCTGCCTGACCGTTGGAAAAACAGGAGTGAAGCCTGCTGCAGCCAAGTACTGCTTAAGAGGGGCTCGAATACGGAATACGGAGCTGTCGTGGACTTACGTCCACGACAGCCTGCCGCGTGCAAAAAGAATGATCGCCTGCCTGCTTGCCTGCTGTCCTGCGCGCATGGCTGCTGGCCTGCAGGCCAAATTTCTCCCGACGTTCCTGCGAGCCTGCCGGCAGGCCTGGGGAACGGCACTGGCTCTCCGCCGCGCGCGGCGGCGGCGGGGATGGCCGCTTGCCTGCCGCGGGTAGTGCTGCGGCTGCCGGATGTCTGCTGCCAGCTGCTCGTCGATGCCGCTGCTGGCGTGTGTGTGCTGCAGGATCTGGAGGCCGTGCTTAGGGGACTCGGTGTCCGCACAAGGGAGCGCCCTGGGGGCCTCTCGGGCCGTCCTGGGCCGTCTCGGAGCTCCCTGGCGGCCTGTTGGGCCGTCGTGGCGGCGTGTCGGGCCGTCCCAGAGCTCTCCGAAGACGTCTTCGGCATGCTGGTAGCCCTCTGGGGCCGTCCGGGAACTCTCGTGAGGCAACCGAAGACGGCCCCAAGGGTCCGAGGACATACCCGAAGATAGCCCAGGAGGCCACGAGAGGGCCCGAAGAGGGCCCCAGGGCAGCCCGCAAGGAGCCCAAAAGGCTCCTCCGAAGCCGTCCTGGAGCAGTCTCGCGGCGAGGAGGAGGAGGAGGAGGAGGAGGAGGAGGAGGAGGAGGAGGAGGAGGAGGCGGAGGAGGCGGAGGAGGCGGAGGAGGCGGAGGAGGCGGAGGAGGCGGAGGAGGAGGAGGAGGGAGGAGGAGGGAGGAGGAGGAGAAGGAGGAGGAAGAGGAGGAGGAGGAGCCTGAAAAGCAAACCACATTCGGAAATGAAGGGGTGACGACGTCGGGCTCCAACTTCGCCTCACACATTTTCCTGAGCAGCGCCACAGCCCGCTGCCACTGCTGGCCTTTCCCACACGCGCCGATCCCAGCGTTGTAGAGAATATTCCGAAGGCGACTTGGCTGCTAATGGAAGCTCCTTGCACACGCACTGACCCCTGGTATTGCAGTACAGACAAGGACTGACCGGTGGACTACGTCCACAAATTCTGTACGAACTGGCATGTGCTGGCGGACATGTTACCAACCAGTTTGAAAGTTGAACGTAGGCTCGAAGTTCAGCGCCTGCCACTGTGCGATGCTGCGTCCTTCCGCTGTTGCATGCTGTTGGTACTGCTCACTGCTGCAGCGTGCCGGTGCAGCTTGTTGCTGCAGATTGCTGCCCATGGCCAGCTCGGCTTGCTGCGTGCCGATGCACGCTGCCTGCTGCTGCCTGCTGCTGCCTGCTGCTGCCTGCTTCTGCCTGCTGTGTGGTGCCCCTGCTGCTGCCTCCTTCTGGCGGCGTGCTGCTGCAGCTCGGTGATGCCGCAGGGTGCTGCCTCTCGCGACTTCGGCCTGCTCACGCCACCTGCTGCTCGGGAGGGGAGCAGGAAGCGAGGAGATCCGGGAGGGAGGGGGGGGCGAGGAGCGATCAGCGAAGAGGGGAGAAGGCGGAGCGGCGGCCGAGGAGGGGGCGGGGAGGGGGGAGAGCCGAGGCGGGAGGGGGGGGGCGGGAGAGCGGGAGGAGCCTGGAGAGAGGAGCCCAGGGAGAAGAGGAGCGAGAAGACAGGAGCTGTGAGCAAGCGGAGACGGGCGACGAGAGCGGAAGGGTGGGCGAGGAGCAAGGAGCGGGAAGCAAGGAGCGAGGAGGGAGGAGAGATGCCTGGGGAGAAGCCAGAGCACTGGTAGCCAAGATGGAGGAGCGAGGAGCCAGGACACGGGAACGAGGAGCAAGGAGGAGGGAAAGGAGAGGAGCAAGGAGCGAGGAGAAAGGGGCTAGGAGTGAGGAGCAACGGGCGAGGAGTGAGGACCGTGCAGCGAGGAGCAAGGATCGAAAAGCGAGGAGGGAGGCGTGAGGAGCGTTCACCATACGAATCTCCGCTCCGAATGGCCTCTACGTGCGTGTAGCCGAGTATGTGGCTCCTCTTGGGTGGCTCATGGGGCCCCTTCAAAGCCAAGTTTGAGCCTTTGGGGAAATTTGTTTGTAGCCTTATCTGGGACTTCTTAGGCCTTACCTGGGGCTGCATTAGGGGTGTCTTGCGGCCGCTCTTGGAGCGGTCTCGGAAGATTAATCGGGCGTCCTGGGGCCCTCCTGGGGCCGTCTGGGGGCCAGCTTGGAGGCACGTCAGGGCACTCCGAGGCGGAGTAGGGTGGAGGCAAAAAGCTCAGGGAGCTGACAACATTGAAGAACGCTTGGGTTCGGGAAGATCTGGGGCCTGTAACCGCTGGCCGGCCTGTGTGTGAGCGACCCTGCGCTTCACGGGAGCCTATCGGGCGGAGCGCGGCGCCGCTGCGGCCGTTCCAGGGCCGAGTTGGGCAGCCACGTGCGAACCCTACCCCGGCGGGTCTGATTTCTGTATATGCCGCCGGGTCTCTCAGAACGTGTGGAACGTCTGCAGCCCAAGGAAAACCCAGCGTGGGCGTCCGATACCCAGGCGTCGAGTGGACCCGTAGGGGTAGGATTCGCAGGTGGTCGCAGGCGAGTGGAGACGACCCGGGAGGCGTCCGCGCGCCCAGGACAACAGCGTCCCCCAAGAGGCAGCCGCCACCAAAGGGCAGGCCTGTCCGCAGCCAGCGGGCCATCCTGGCACGCGCACTGCCCAGCATCGTAGCGTAGATGACGTCGGGATCGCGCTTCGCCTCCGACCAGTCACTGAGCAACGACAGGGCCCACTGCCACTGTCCGCCCTTCTCGCATGCGCTGACCCCGGCGCAGTAGCTGATGACATTGGGCTCAACCTTCGACCCCCACATCTCGCCGAGCACCGACAGTGCCCGTTGCCATTGCCCGCTTGTTCTGCATGCGCCAACGGTCGCAATGTAGTGGCCGGGTAAAAGTTTCACACCTAGTTGAACTGCTTCGCGGAGCAACTGCAGGGCTGCGCTCCACTGTTTTGTCTGCTCACACTTCTTGATTGACACTTCGAGCGAAACAGTGCCTTCTCGAGACCCTGGTCGGATAGGTAGCATCCGAAAAATACGTCATCGAGCTGGCATGAGCCAATTTAATTTAAACCGCGACATCTTGAGCAGAAATGGTTCGAGCCAACATTGCTTGAGCCAAACTCCGCTGTTTCCTCACTAATATGTAACCAAGCGTGGACCCACACACAGTGATGTCTTGCTATCTATGCGGTGCAATCTAGGTGGTGCGATCAATGAGATGCAATCTAGGTGGTACCGGTCCATGTGGTACAAGCTATAATGCAAAGCAGTGCAAAGCAACGCAGGCAATGCAGAGCAATGCAAAGCGATGCGAAGTAATGCAAAGCAATGCAAGGCAGTGCAGAGCAATGCACAGTAATGAAAACCAATGCAAAGCAATGCAAAGCAGCACAAAGAAATGCAAAGCAATCCTCCAAAGTAATGCAAAGCAATGCAAAACATTGCACAGCAAATCAAAACAATGTAAAGCAATGCAAGGCAACGCAACGTGACACAAAGCAACTCAAAGCAATGCAAGCAATGCAAAGGGATGCAAAGCGATACCACTTGACGCAAAGCAATGCAATGCAATGCCAAAGCAGCGCGATTGCAGTGCAATGACGCAAAGCGATGCAAAGTAATGCAAAGCGATGCAAGGCAGCGCAGCGCAATGCCAAGTAATGCGCAATGCAATGCACGGCAATACAAAGCAACACAAAGCAACGAATAGCAATGCAAAGCAATGCGAAGCAATGCAAAGCGGGCGGCGACGAGGCGGCGGGCGGCGATGAGGCGGCGACGGCGGCAACATGACGGCCAGAGCGGCCCGCAGGCCCAGGCGACGTGCGGCGACGGGCGGCGACGAGGCGGCGACGGCGGCGACATGTCGGCCAGAGCGGCCATCAGGACAAGGTGACGGGCGGTGACAGGCGGCGACGAGGCGGCGACGGCGGCGACATGGCGGCCAGAGCGGCCCGCAGGCCCAGGCGACGTGCGGCGATGGGCGGCGACGAGGCCGCGACATGTCGGCCAGAGCGGCCATCAGGACAGGGCGACGGGCGGCGACAGGCGGCGACGAGGCGGCGACGAGTCGGCGACGGCGGCGACATGGCGGCTAGAGTGGCCCGCAGGCGCAGATCCGTAGACGAGAAATAACAATCTACAAGTGTAAACACTGCGTGAGGTATTATCATTCTCCTCCCCCTCTTCTTCATCCGTCTCCTCTTCCTCCTCCCAGGCCACCGCCCCCTCCACCTCGTCGTTATCGTTCTCCTCATCACATTCCTCCCCCTCCAGGAAAACAATCCGAGGGGGGCCCGGGTCAAAATCTCAACACGAAGCTGCCTGCACCACCAGGCGAAACAGAGAATCCATGGAGAGCTCGCGCTTTTTTTGAAACGGGGCCACGCGCGCCGAGCGTTCCGTTACGACCTAACGCCATTTGGAAACGACGCCACCTCAAGCACGTCCGTCACAATGCTTCGGTGCCAGAAGACCAGCGGCCTGGGATGAGCCAGCAACGAGCTTCAACGGTTTCGCAGAGAAGCAGGACAAGTTGCAGGAGGTAAGGCTCGCGGGAGGTGCCTAACGACAACACTTGCGGTGGAAACGTGGACTGGCGATCCTGGCATTGCAGTACGCGTGGCGGTAATCAAAGAGTGGATCAACATGTGGCAACGGTTCCCAGAGATACACCCCAGGGTCCTCAAAGCGTGGCCGCTCATCCGCACGAGACTGGTCAAGCTGGGACCGAAGAGATGGCGTGGAGTACGAGGACCAGTGGGAGCAGTACAGGCTACGCTTATAGACGTGGGTTGTTACGCTCCAAAAGCAACTACATGGTCTCGGCCAGTCGGAGAAGACGAAGATATGGCAGAACAATGGGATATACCGTCGGCGTTGGACGGTAACTTCGAGCAGACAGGGTACTTCCAGCAGCTAGTGGACGATTTCGAGCACGACATAAGAGGGCACTTTGCCGATCGGAATTAGCACATCCAAATGGAGAAGGTCTGGAAGAAGGTGCAGATGTATGGCAAATTCGAGCAGAGCAGCGTCGTTTCGAGAAGAAGGGCCACCTAGACATGATCGGCTTGAACATCACGGTGGTCGCAGTCGGGCAGTGGCACAAGACTCGAGCGGCAGAACAAGGGTACCTTCTGGAGAGCTAGCTGTGCGACAGGTGCAAGGAGGCAGACGAGACACTCATGCACAGAATATGGCTCTGCTCGAGGAACACGGACCACGAGGATTTCTCAAAGACAGAGTCCCTGGTGTGTGCGGCCATGGCGCAGGCGGAGTCGCAGCCTGCACTTTGGCTGCGAGGACTGCCGCCAGCCTCTCTCACCCATCCCGTTTTTCATGATGAAGAACTCGAGGGGAGGGAGGTTCGGTTTGGTGATTGGGGGGACTGGGAGGAGTGCAGATTTAACGGTGTGATCCACATTTTTGGCGACGGCTCGGGGGGCAGATATTCGTCGGACCCCCGTCGCCGCCGATGTGGAGCAGGGATTGCAGTTATCCGCTTTCATGAAGGAGAGTGGGAGGTCAGTCGAGCCATCGCTGTACCTCTCACGGGTAGGAGGCAAACGGTTCCCCGATCGGAGATTTTAGCTTTTGCTGTGGCGCTGGAAGAGTGCCTCACTGATTTCACTTTTGTCACGGACCATCGGACGGTCGCGTTATCCTGGAGAAACCGTTTCGAGCATCCGAAAACCACGGGTCCCAGTGAGGACCTCTGGACCCGCGCTAGTCGCCTGGCAGGCTCACCCTGACCGAGAGATTAGCGTTGTGTGGACAGCCTCTCACCTAGATGAGACCCCAGAGCTGCTGAACACTCCTGAGCAGGAGTTCGTAGCTGCGGGGAATGTCGCAGCTGATATCTGGGCTGGAGTCGGAGCGGAGCTGGCGTGGGAGTTCGGGCTGGTGGGGGGGAACCCTGACACGGACAGAATCGATTCAATCGCGCACTTGGTGCGCAAAAAAGCTAGACGAGCGCTCGCGTTGGCCGCCTCGGCAGAGTCGGGAGAGCGTGCCAGCAGAGCCCCAACAGTGAAGAAGCTCTCCAAGCAGGAGAGAATTATAAAATCCTCTCCTCACCAGCTCGAGAAAGTAGGTAGCAAGTGGAGAGGCGCGCAGTGTGAGTTGATTGTCCCAGGGGCCAGATTTTTGCGTTTCTCGGCTTCTGCGTGTTCTGGTCCCCCTGGGAAAAGCGGCCTTGCGGCCCCTGTGTTCAAACCAATGGTTGGAGTAGGCCTCGAGATCCACCCGTCTCACTCGATCACGTTTGTTGATCACTGGTTCCTTCAGCTTTGCTCGCTGTGCGGGAAGTATGCCACGGTGGACTCGAGGCACCTGCAGAAAAAATGTCCGAACGGGGCAGAGAATCTGCGCAGAATTGATCTCGGTTTGTTTCCTCGGCGGGAAGGCCCCCCAAGAGCCATCAAGATGGCCATGGCTCAGAGAGATTACTGTCGTGTCGTGTCGGCCCACGAGGCCAGGGGGAGTGTGCTGCCTGAGCCTGGGGGGGCCCCCGCCGAGCCTCCTGCCGTGGCCCGCGCCCGCAATGACGGGCAAGACCCCGAGCTGTTGCGTCAGGAGGCCAAGGAGCTCCAGACGCAAGCGAAGAGTCAGAGATTGTTGGCCAGCGGGCCACGCAGGAGGATTCAGGCTCTTCGGACTGTCAGCAGATATCTGCAAGCAGGAAGAAATGAAGGACGGGAGTCCGCGAGCAAAGCGTTCCAAAAAAGCGCTCCCTCCTCCTTCTCCTCCTCCTCCTCCTCCTCCTCCTCCCGCCTCCTCCTCCTCCTCACCCTTTTCTTCCTCCTCTTCATCTTCCTCCAGCTTCTCGACTCCTCCTCGTCATTCACCTCGTCATCCTGGGGCGCCTGGGGCACCTCCCCATCAGGAACCCAGGATGCCACTGAGATCCCCACGAGGCGGCTGACGTCGGCGACCTTGCACTCAGAGACGCTGTCTGGCCGCTCGCGCGCGGGCCCATCACGGTCCGAATACCTCACCGAGACCTCAACTAGGTGGCCGGTGTCGGTGAGCTTGGCCTCAGGGCCGCTGCGTGGCCGCGCGCGCGCTAAGAGCTCACTAAGACCTCCACGAGGTGGCCCGCGTCGGTGAGTTTGCTCTCAGGGCCGCCTCCAGGTTGCCCGTGCGCTGGATGTAGTCTCCCGGCCGCAGCCGCGCGGCAGCCAGCCGCGGCGAGTTCGTCGCCACGTTCTCGGCGAGGATCTGCTGGATGTCGGTGGCGAACATCTCCCGCACCAGCGTGGCCTGCGGCCGCATCAACTCCGCTTCCTCCTGCAAAGCTTTGCCCCCGACCCTGCAGAATCGCGGAGAGAGATCTTGGGCCGTTTTCGGCAGACGTTTCAGCGTTTCTGGCCTCTCAGGGCGCGCCTGGAGGCCCCTGGGGTCAGGATGTGGGGCGCAGGCAAAGCGTTTCCCCTCCTCCGCCTCAGTGTCCCAACACCCCAATGGCAGACGCCCCAAGTGGCCACTCGTGCGCCGTCAACGGCGAGAGAAGGGCGGCAAGCCAGAGGCAGGACGGAGAGGACTGCCTCTGTTGTGCGACGAAAGCACTGCAGGCGCAGCAGCAGGGGGCCCATGAAGAGCGAACGGCCCGAGCGGGAGCGCGAAAAGCTCCGGAACGTCTCCTGCACACTGCGCCACCAGTCCTCTATACAAACAGTCCGAAGAAGAGCGTGGCCTGCAACGCTGTCGTATGACGGCGGAGGGACAGGACAAGAAGGGAGCACAAAGGAGAGTCCCGCGCGCGCGCACATTGATCGGGCCTTGCCATCGGCACTCACGCCATCTTCCTCCAAAGGCAAGGTGAAAGCGGAAGAGGGGAAAGGAGAGGGCGCGTGCGGAGGGGATGGATCAGAACAGGCCACCCGCGCAAAGGCCCACCGCGGCCCTGCGGGAGAGAGGGGGCAGGGCGCCCGGCAGGTCTTGGCCAGAGGCCGGCGTCGAAAAAAAGCGGAGGCGCCTGGCCAGCGGGCACGAGATTCCGCTCAAGCAAGAAACCTGCCATCCTATGAAGCACCGCCTGTGAAATCTACTGGAAACGCCCTGCAAGCTACCTGCGCACGGAACCTGAGCACCAGCTTCGGAGAAGTGCACGGAGCAGAAAACGTGAGTGCGCCGTGCAAGCTGCCGCAAAAGTGAGCCTCAGGGCATGGAGGGACCTCCATCTCCACACAACGCTCCAAGCACGAAACTGAGAAACTGCACGTGGGCAGGGGTGGGAAATATGAAACAAGGACGAACGGGAAGGGTAGAGGCCAGGGGGGAAGAGCCCTGAAAGCTTCGGCTTGCCGAGTGCAGGCGCAAGGAAAAGAAAAAGAGCAAGACCTCCGCGGAACGCCCACGGTGCTGCAGGTGCCCTCCAGGCGGTCTGGGCACACCATTGCGCAAGGATGCAGGCGGAGCGGAAGGGAGGACGTGAGGCAGGAAGGAAACGCCGCTGAGCAAGCTGCGGGAGCAGGACAGAGAGAACAGCGCCAGCCGACATCAACCCTCGCCGCAAGGGCGTCCGCGTGCGACCGACGGCGCGGACGCGCCTGGCGGCCGAATCGGGCGACGAGAAAGACGCGGCCGCTGGGGCATAGCGGCATACCCAAAGGACGCTCGCGCGCGCGGCGGCACCCAAAGAGCCAAGCTCGACACCAATCCAGACAGCCAACCGCGCCCTCCTCTCCGCCTCCTCCTCCTCCTCTGGGCCTTCGGGGGGCCTTCGGGGAACCCGCTGCCGCTGGACCCGCCTCGGGACCCTGCAACCCCACGGGGCCGAGGCTCCGGGAGGCCGCCACCGCCGCCGCCCGCCGCCATCTCGGCGTGGCCTGCGGCCGCATCCACTCCGCTTCGGACTGGAAGCGGCACCGCTGCGAGCCCCCGCCCGAGAGGTCGCCGCTGGTGTTCGCCCGCAGACGGCCCTGGGCGGCCGTGCCCGCGGAGGGGCCCTCGGACAGCTGGGTCATCTGCTGGCGCCAAGCCTCGACGACGAAGGCGACGAAGACGTTGGCCACCGCCAGGACGCCGATGATGTAGTGCGAGATGAAGTACGCTCGCGACCACATCCCCCCGACGGCCGCCTCCGCGTCCATCACGACGAACCAGTTGTTCACCACGAGCTGCTCGAACAGGACCATAACGGACGAGGCCAGCGAGTTGAAGTTGTTCGACCAGTAGCTGCTCTTCTGCCATACCGTGCCGTCGAGCGCCCCATTCGACTCTCGCAGGACACCCCCGAACAGCTGCAGGCCAATCTCCGCGTAGAAGAGGTGCACTGCGATCATGGCGTTGAGCACCATCGAGGCCGCGGGCAGAATCCTCACCACGCTCTGCGCGAACATCTGGAACGACTTCTGCCTGCCCCAGAACCGGAGGGCGCGCGCCACTCGCAGGAGCGTGCACGCCTTCGGGGTTGGACGGAGCCCCCGTTGGTGAAAAACACCGGTTGGCGCGAGACCCTCCCAAGACCAGACCCGACAGGAGCAGGCCCCCCAAGAGTTGCAGCCGCCACACCCTCCCTCGAGAACCGAAAGGGGACAAGTCGCCAATCGACTCGGAGGGGCGGTGGTTCTACCAACCTCGGACGCCTTCCAGAGCATGCCCGACGCCGGCGCCGCGAACGCCACGAACTCCGCCGCGGTGGTTGTGGCCAGGATCACCAGCTCGGCCCGGAGCAGCAGCGTCCCGCCCCCGCCGCGCCAGCAGTACTTCAGGCCGCCCAAGGCCCACACGCGCGCGGAGAGCTCGCCGTCCCACAGGACCGTGAAGCACGGGTTGATCAAGAGGCTGGGCCTGGTAAGCCTCTGAGAGGAGGAGGAGGAGGAGGAGGAGGAGGAGGAGGAGGAGGAGGAGGAGGAGGAGGAGGAGGAGGAGGAGGAGGAGGAGGAGGAGGAGGAGGAGGAGGAGGAGGAGGAGGAGGAGGAGGAGGTGGAGGGAGGAGACAGACGAGAAGGAGGAGGAGGAGGAGGAGGAGACAGACGAGGAGGAGGAGGATGAGGAGGAGGAGCAGGACCTCCCCATCCTCGCAAGGGGAGGACTGGCTCTGGGGGGGGGGAACTGGACTTGGAATTGGCGATACTACGTCGACGATAGATCGGCGGCAGGCCCCCGAAAGCGAAACCGCACGTGCCTGGGCGGGGGGTTGGGCCATCAGGTCCGCATCGGGGAGGACTGGACGCTCGGGGTCGATGCTCTCCCCTCCTGGGCCTGTCCCCCTCCTGTCGTTGCCCCCGGAGCCTCTCCCGGAGCGAGAACGCGGTCCGCGGCGGCACGCCCTGCTGGACCACGCGGCTGGTGTCGACCGCGAGCGCGGCCAGGTTGAGCAGGAGAAGTGCCGAGATGGTGTGCTGCACCAGGGGCCGTCGCAGCAGCCGGGCCGCGGCCGCGCGCTTGGGGCCCGCCAGCGGCTGGACGTTCTGCTGCGTGCGGGTGACCACGTCGGAGTCGCTCAGCGTCAGCACCAGCGCGCAGAACTCGCCGCTGTCCAGGCCCTCGGGCGTGTGGGACTCCGACTGGACGCTCTGGAAGATGGCCCTCCCGCGGACGCGCGGGCACTGCTCCCGGACGAGCGCTCGGGACAGGCGGGCCCAGGCGCAGAAGAAGTCGCACCACACCTCCTCGGTCACGAACCCGTCCTCAGCCTCGGGGGCGGCCTCCCAGGACACGGACCGCTGCGAGACCTCCGCGGGCGATGACGGCGACAGCGACGACGGCGACAGACGACGACGGCGACGGACGACGACTGACGACGACGACGGCGGCGACGACGACGGCGACGACGACGACGACGACGACGACGACGACGACGACGACGACGACGACGACGACGACGACGACGACGGACGACGACGACGACGACGACGACGACGACGACGACGACGACGACGACGACGACAACGACAACGACGACAAAAACGACGACGACAAAGACGACACAGACGACAAAGACGACGACAAGGACGACAAAGACGCCAAAGACGACAAAGACGACAAAGACAAAGGACGACGGACGACGACTGACGCCACCAACGACGACGACGACGACGACGACGATGACGACTGACGACGACTGACGACGACTGACGACAGCGACGATTGACGACGATGACGACGACGACGACGACGACGACGACGACGACGACGACGACGACGACGACGACGACGACGACGACGACGACGACGACGATGACGACGACGACGACGACGACGACGACGACGACGACGACGACGACGACGACGACGACGACGGCAAAAACGACGACGACGACGACACAGACGACAAAGACGACGACAAGGACGACAAGGATGCCAAAGACGACAAAGACGACAAAGACGACAAAGACAAAGGACGACGGACGACGACTGACGCCACCAACGACGACGACGACGACGACGACGACGACGACGACGACGACGACGATGACGACTGACGACGACGGACGACGACTGACGACGACTGACGACAACGACGATTGACGACGACGACGACGACGACGACGACGACGACGACGACAATGACGACGACGACGACGACGACGACGACGACGACGACGACAATGACGACGACGACGACGACGACGACGACGACGACGAACAACGGACAAAGGAAAAGTGACAAAGGACAACTATCGGCTGAGAAGGCCTCAGCGGGTGCCTGTGCGGTCGGCGGCACAGCGAGCAGGGCGAAGGCGTGCATCACGGTGTCCTCGCGGCGGCGATGGTCCCGGGCCAAGCTGGCCCGGAAGATGGTGAGGTACTGCGCGTAGATGGCCTGGGGAGCGCCAGTTGTGCCGACACCTCCAGAGTCTTGCAAACCGAAGACAAAACGTTGTTTTGTCCCTCTGCGGCCTCCCGGGTCCGTTCTCGGGCCGTGGGACTGTTGCGTGGGACTCCGCGGCGCGGATTGCTGTTGCTACTGTTGTTGGTGTTGCTGAATTGCGTTGCGTTGCGTTGTGTTGCGTTGCGTTGTGTTGCGTTGCTGTCGTCGTTCCCCCCACCCACCCGCGACTCACCCACGACCCACCCGCGACCCACCCGCGACACAGCCGCGACACAGCCGCGACCGACCCCGCGACCCACCCGCAACCCATCCGCGACCCACCCGCGACCCATCCCGGTCCCGCGACCCGCCTGCGACCCGGCCTGCGACCCACCCGCGACCCACCCGCGGCCTGGCCCGCGACCCGGGCCGCGAGGCCTCGATATCGCACCCAGTCAGGGCTGTCCGTGAGTCTGCACCAGAACGCGGCACCCCCTGCCCTGAGGGAGGCAGGCGCGATGCCCAGCTTGTCAACATGCGGAACCCCGAAAAAATCAATGAGGGAGTCCAGGCAGGCTCTGAAGGCCCAGGCACATCCGTGCAGCAAGGGGAGACGAGAGGGGCACCTGGGAACAAGAGCCTCGGAAAAGATCACAACCTGAGGGGCGCCAGTTCTGATAAGTTCTCGGAGTTCTCGCCGCGCGCCCAGGCGTCTCATTTCGGGAGCGCCCACGCGAACGCACAGCGCACGCAGCCGCTTGAGGGAACGAGAGGGGAAGACGATGTCCCCTCACTTCCACTCCAAAAATTCGAAAGGCCTGATCAAGCTGAAGAAGCCTAGCACCAGGCATCCCGCCACGTCGGACCAGCCCCAGGCTAGGGCCAGCCTCAGAACCGACAGCAGCGCCTCCAGCATCGGCTGGTGGACCCGCCCGACGCGGGGTGCTTCCAGGCGAAGGAGATGCCCCACGCTCCTCCGAGGCGGCGCAGGCTGCGGCTCGCATCCACGACCGCGTTGATCGATTCGTCGTAATCGTGGCGGCTCCGCAGCACGTCGTAGAAGAAGTGGCCACACCTCGCCAAGGGCTACCAGCGCGAGGCCCATCAGGACGAAGAGCCCCCACTTCGGCCCGCCAGCCAGCCAGCCAGTACTGCAGCTGCGAGGCCAGCGCCGCGCGGCGCGCCTGGTCGACGGGCGCGGGCCCTCGCGCCGCCGCCAAGCCCACGCCCGCAGGGCGGGTGGTCGGGGGGCGGGGCGCCACAGCACGGCCCATCATCAGCAGACGCAGGACGAAGCCAAGGAAGCACCGCGGCGCCAAAACCCCCTTCGTCATCGGCGACCCGCGGAGGCCGGCCGCGCCCAGGCGGGCCCAGGCCGTCACCTGACCAGGGGACGCACCCCTCCTCACCTCCGAAGGCACGCCGACAGCGACCTCCCCAGGGAAGCCCAGCGCGGGGCCCGGCGCAAGCGGGCGGGGGGCTGTCCTCAGGAGCCCGGCCACCACAGGCTCGCCACCAGCCACGCCCAACGCAAATGCTGCCAGCGCCGCAGCGGGAGAGGTCGAAGCGCTCCACGTCGCCGCGCGAGCGGAGGAACTTGACCGCGCCCGCATGCCAGGAGTAGGCGCTCAGAGGGTGCCCTCACAGGGCGCCATTGCACCACGGCGCCATGCCAAGAGGTGCGCGAATATCGCTGCCATGCCAACCTTTAGCAGGATATTGCCGAACCGCGCGATGGAGAAGCTGGCACAGGGCACCTGCGAGACGGCAGCCTGCACGCGCCTCTGCCATATGAGCCAGACGACCCACTCGGCAAGCGGGAACCTGGTAAGGCCCCAATACGCGCGGCACTCAATGTCGATCCGCGGGCCCGCGCGAAGCCCGCGGCGCTCGAGGCAGCCCACGAGCTGGCTCTCGGCGCCACAGCAGAGCTCCAGCACGTCAGAATACTCGACAGGAGAGGCAGCCGGCCCACGGTGCCCTGGGGCGCCATGGCGCCCTCCCCCAGGTCCTGCAGGAGGTAACCGTCTTCTGGATTGGCCAGGGCCGCCATGCCCACGGGGCAGACCCACGCACGCGCGCCCCTCTGCTCGCGGCGACGCCAGAGCATGCGAGTGGTTGGCGCGGAGGCTGGTGTCTTGACCGACGCGCCAGCCATGCGCGACGCGTCGGAGGCCAAGATGCGCGGGCCCCACCCGGCAGCATGGCCCGCGGCCATCAGCGGCGCGAGAACGGCGAACAGCGAACACTCGTTGCAGGAGGCGCCGCTCAGCTCGAAGATCTCGCGCGGGCTCATCCGCTGGTCGACGCCCCTGCGGCAGCGGCAATATAGCGACATGGCGGGCCGGCGGAAGAGCGCGGCGAAGAGTCCCGTGCCGAGACACTTCTGCAGGCCAAGCGCGGTCGCCCCCCTGCCCCAAGCTAGAGACAGCCCCATCCACGCTAGCGCCGGCCCGCGGTTCCGAGAGGCGCCGACGACCCGATCGCGGCCGACCAGCTCCGCGCCAATGGCCGCTGCCACCGCCGCGCCCATCACCCCCCTGCTAGCCAAGGCCCGCCTGCAGCCCGGCGGGAGCGCAACCCCCACGCGCGCGAGCGATGGATTCGATGATCGCCCGACGCGAGGCGCGCGAGCCAGGGGCGTCGACCGCCAGGCCGAAGCAGCAGAAGTGGTCGCCCACCACGACGCCGTCTCAACGAGCTCCGTCAGGCGGGAGGCGGCGGTTGAGCATCCGCCGCTGAGGGGGGAAGCCCCCGGCCTCGGAAAGCAGACGCACGCGGGCCTCGCAAGTCCAGTCTGGCGCATTCAGAAATCCCATAATGAGCCCACCGGGGCAGGGGACCCTTGTCAGCGAGGCCTCGCCAGGCCTGCCTGCAATGCCTCCGAGGCGAGTCCAGCGCCGCGAAGCCCTCGCACAGCCCGGGAAGCAGAGGGAGGCCGACGTCGCTGGCGTAGGCCATCGCTTAGGTGCATTCGACGGCGGGATAGCAATCCTGGAGGTCGTCGGCGCACACGCGGAGAGCACTGCCAGCAAGCACCTCCAGGCCAACCAACACGGCAGCGCTCGGCGTCAGCTTCGCGAAGCCATGAAGGGACATTTCGGCCGCGTCCTGGGCGACCCTGTTGAAGACGACCCCCTGCGCGCCGGCGCCCTTCAAGACGGGGGCGAGAGCTCCCCGGAGAGGGCCGCCGGGGAGTCGTCTGCGCCGAGCAGCTCGAGACGGCCCAGCTTGTCACATTGCTTCAGGTCCTGCAGGAGGTCGTCCGGCATGCCCGCCTGCCAGGCAGGGCGAGGGCGGGCAGGCCGCGCCGGGGGGCCAGCGGCCTCCGAGAGAGGAGCGGCGCCAGGCCCGCCACTCGCCAGCAGCCGCGGTTCCGGGGAGGCAGCGGCCGCGAACAGGCTCAGACAGTCCAGCGGGGCGAAGCGGCACTCCGACTTGGAGAGGGGCGCCTTGCTCGGGTCAGTCGTCTTCAGCTCGCTGTCGGAGAACGGCAACTCGGCGCCGATGGGAGGCGCATCGCGTTCTGGAGGTAGTCCAGCGGCAACTCGGACTCGAGAGCTCGGACACCTTGCCATTGCAGGGGCCAGCACATCGGTCGCACGAGACTCGCCAGCCTGGACACCATCTCAATCTGAGATGAGCTGGCAGCCCCTCGTCTCGCCCAGGTGCGAGCGGGAGAGGCCGAGGAGGTGGCTTCGTGCCCGCGTTGAGCACGCGTGGTTCAATGGAGCGCGCACACCGCGAGGGGGGGCACCCGCTGCCCACCCGCGCGGCGGCGGGCAGGGCTGCAGACCGGCACCGGGGGACGGACGCTACCTCCTGGAGGCCAGCGTCGCGCAGGGAGGAGCGAACGCAGGCGCCGACGGCCGCGCGGCGGCCCCGGAGACGGCGAACGAGGCCGAGCCCCCAGCGGATGCCCACGCCCAACGACTTGACGCCACCCACCAGCCCCCCGCGGCCCCCCGCGCACCCGCGCGGCAGAGAAGCTGGGGCGGCACCGCGCGCGGCTCCCGGGGCCGCCCAGCCCCCAGAGAGCCTCACTCCCACTGGGCAGGTGGCGCGCCGCCGGCAGCCTTGCCGCGGCGCCTCGCGACGCCGCGCCCCCCCCTGCCTTCGGCGTCGCCGCGGGCGCCAACTTCTCCACCGTGCCCTCGCGCCCTCGAAGGCCAGGGCGCCCCCCGGGCAGCCGATCGCCGCCGGGGCCCACTCGGGCGAGGCCAGCCTCGAGAGCGGCGGATCTGTCCGCGGTCGGAGGACTGGCGGATCGCGGCCCAGGGCGGCTCCAGCAGGTGGGTCAGCAGCCACGCCGACGCCCGGCGCCACCCCCAGAGAGCCGCTCGTTCCCAGGCGCACGGCGGGAGGCCGAGCTGACCTTCGGCCGCCAGCCACGCGCCGCGCCCCATCAGGTCGAATACCTCCGCCACGCCGAGGATGAGGAACGCCGAGGACCTCGCCTGGCAGAACGGCGCGTTCCGAGCGAAATAGCCCCGCGTCGCTTCGCGCGAGCCCTCCTCGCTCGCGGCCCCCGTCATGTTGAGGGCCCTGTTCCGTCAGGCCGCGGCCGAAATGCTCCGCGGGTTCATTCGCACCCGCTGGCGGAGGGCCCCCCAGAGCGACCGCGCCGCGCGCGCCTCCGAGCCTCACGCCACTGCCCTCGCCAAACTCGCCGTCTCTGAGCGCAAGCAGCTGCTCCCGGCTGCCGAGGCCCCTGGAGGGAGGGCCGAAGCCAGCTTGGGCACGGACGTCGGCGGCAGCGCCGCCGCGGGGCCCGGGTGCCCGGCCGCCATGGGGTGAGCGAGGGGTCGCCGCGGGAGCGCGGCCCCGAGCGGGCACGCGCTCAGCCAGAGCGGCAGGCTCCCCGGCGGGGGCCGGCTGGCGGACGGAGGCGGGGCCGCGGGGCGAGGCCGCGCGCCGCCGGCCTCCAGCAGCGCGACCCGCTCCAGGAGCGAGGTCTGCCCCGCGAGGATCTACTCGAGCACCTGCTGCTGGGCGGCCTCGGCCGCCCTGCCGAGCGGGAGCCTTGGGCCCCGGGAGGCGGCGCCGCAGCGGGAGTCCCCAGGGCAGCCTGGCACTGGCCCCCCTGCCCGATCAGCTCCTCCACCTCGGCAGCCAGCCCCCTCATCTCGGCACGAGGCGCGTTCGCCTGCTGCTGGTCCGCGAGCTCGCACGGGGGGGTCGTGGCAGGGGCCGCGAGCGGGGCGGCCTCCCCCGAGAGCCTCGCGTCGGGCCCAGCCGTGGCGGCCTCCAATAGGGGCAGCGGGCGGAAGAGCGCGCCGATAATGGAGGCGGGAGGCCGCTCCTCGGCGGGCGCAATGGCAGAGGGCGGAGGGTCCAGGGTCATCATCACATCGGCATGGATGGCCCGCACCGCCGCGTCGGGCTCCGGCCACCACCCGCCGTCGTGGACGGCCAAGACCTGCCCCTCGGCAGGGGGCGCCGTCGCGAAGCGGCGCGCCAAGGAGCTGGGCGTCTCCATGACCTCGGCCGCGAGGTACTGGCCGTCCAGCGGGGCGACAGAAACGCCCCAGGCCGGGAGCGCTACCGGCTCGTGCGAGGTGTCGAGTCAGCCAGAGGGCACCACCTCGACCGTGACTAGGGCGTCGGCTCGCACCCGCAGCGCCGCCACTGTGACCTCGTAGTCGGAATCGACGGCAACCATGAGCGCCCGGTAGCCAAACTCCCCAGAGGCGCCGCCAGCAGCCAGGGCTGGCTACAGGGAGAGGACGTCCACGTGCTGCGAGAGTCTTGGCCTCTGGGGCGAAGCGGCACAGGCGGTCGCCTTGAGCGTACCAGTGGGTGCCGATCTCCTCGGCGACGGCCCACGAGGCCCGCCCTCCGCCGCAGTGGACGCCCACCGGTGTGGGGGCCCGCGGGCACGCCCACACCGCGCAGGCCCACGCCTCCGTGCGCGCTGCCCTCGGCGCGCGGGGCGGAGCCGTCTCGGGGTCTCCGTCTGCGCTCCCGCGCGTCTCGGAGCGCCTCGCCCCGCTCCGCCAGGGCAGCCTCGGCCGGCAGGCTGCCGGCCCCGCAGCGGGTCGGGGCCGCGGCCGCGGCCTGGGGGGGGGGCGCCCTCGCCCGCGGGCCGCTCGCGCCGCCCGCTGGGAGCGCGCCCAGGAGCTCGCTGAGCATGCCAGGGCGCAGGCAGGGGAGGGACCGGGCGCGCGGGGGCGGCCGGCGAAGGAGAGCTGTGAGCAAGAGCCCACGCCGCCGAGGAATCGCTGCAAGCACGCGGTGCCGCGTGTAAGTGTACCGCATAAAGCGCCAGCGCTGAAAAAAAAGATCCGTAGCAGCCCCAGCGGTGCTGGGCGGGAAACGCGGTGCCCCCGCGCCCCCGCTGTCAAAACCCCTCAGAGCGATAATCGACAGATAAACCGCAAGGGCGTAAGCGCCGCAGTGACCGGCACCCACGGAGCTCGTCCAGCAACCACGCAGAGAGAGAGAGAGATGACTTTTACGACGTTTACACTCGTCACCGAGTCGTTGCCCCAACCCACGGTGGTGCCGTAGGGGTGATCCTTGGGGCGACCGCTGCGACCCGCCGGCCTTCCGACGGCCACTTCATGCGAAACCCTGCTCTAACCGTCGAGTCGAGATGGCACACTTATGATGCCACTTTGTAATACCGCGCTCGTTGGCGACAAGTCAATCGTACAGGTCATCAGAAGAAGACGCATGGTGCCGCGTAGTACCTACATTCGCCTCGGCCGCGGATGCGGCCGACCCTGTGACCCCGAGCAGCGTGTTCAGGGTCCCCCCACCCCTTTCGGGACACCCCTCCTGACACGCTTCGTGGCCCCATGGGGAGCTCGTCCGAAGGCCCCAATGGCAGTGCCCACATGCGTCTCCCCCCCCAGCCATCAGGCGCACCCCTCACACGTTTCATGCGCCCGTCAGGAACTCCACCGAAGGTCTCAGTGGCAGTGCTCATACACGGCCGCCCAACCCAGCTCGGCACAACCCTCACACGCTTCGTGGCCACACAGGGAGCTCCGCCGACGGTCCCAGTGGCAGTGCTCACATGCGCCCCCCCACCCAGTTCGGCAAACCTCCCACACGCTGCGTTGCCCCATAGGGAGCTCCACCGGAGCCGGCACTAGCAACTGCGTGATTCACAACTGCATATGGTTGGGTCCTTCGCCAGGCTGAATTTATTCAT